TCCGCCGCGCGCCCCTTATCCGGATTCGGTGCCGGATGCTCAAGGCTTTGCCGGCGACGTCGCCGCGACCCCGCGGAGAAAAATGAATTCCCTGGTTTCACCGATCTCGGATAAATTCTTCCCCACAGATCGATGCTCCCACCCCGCCAGCTACGGCCTTTGGCAGCGCTCCGAAACATCCTTATTCCCTAAAAAAATTCCCTAATCCCCATCCCGAAGGGCCGCTGCTCCCCTGAGGGTCACTTTTCCGCACCCCGCCGCTAAAAAATCTTCCGGCTCAGGGGCCACGGGAAAAGGGGGTGCGCTTCCATCTCCCCCGCGACTATTCCCTCCGTGGGGAAAAAAAAAAGTGGGTGAAATCTCTCCCCAGGTGCAAATCTTTAGGCGAGGATTTTCTCTGGGCACCGATAAAAGCCTCAAAAAGCCCCAAAAAGAGGAAGGATGGGAGGAAGCGGCTTCGTTTTCGGCAGCGGTTGTGCACTCGCTCGATTTTCCGCGCCTTCAAGTGGGAAAATGAGTTTAAGCCCCCGTCGCTTAATCGCTATTTTTGTAGGATCTTGATAAAATAGTTTACGGAGACGCCGGGACGGGAAAGTCGCTGCTCTGCGAGTAACCGGGGGGCTGAGGACGTGCTGGGTCTTCGTGTAACGAAGCGTAAATTGTTAAAAGTGGGGTAAAAGAAACAAGTTTTCGTGTAGCAAAGCATAAAACACTGAAAGCGGGCGGAAAGGAAACACATCTTCGCGTAGAGAGTCTAAATTGCTGAAAACAGGCAGGAAAAGAAACAAATTTTCAGGGGTTGAAGCCGAAGTTGCTGAAAATGGGGCAAAAAAACCCAAAATGAACGTGTCCCTGAAGCCTAAATTGCTGAAAACTGGCAGAAAAGGAAGAAATTTTCATGTAGTGAGGTATAAATTGCTGGAAATGGGCAGCAAGGAACCAAATTTCTGTGTAGTGAAACCTAAATTCCTGAAAACGGGTGAAAAAGGAGCAAAGTTTTCACACAGCGAAGCCTAAATGTCTGAAAAAGAGGCCAAAAAGAAACAAAATTGTCACAAACCGAAGACTAAGTTTCTGCAAACAGGCGGAAAAGAAACAAGATTTCGTGTACCAAAGCCCGAATGGATGAAAACGGGCCAAAAAAAGCCCCAAATTTTACTCCCTGGGGAGTGAAAAAGCTAAATCGGGTCAGCATCCCGGAGGCGGACGCCGGCCGAGATGTTGGGGGGGGTATTAAATCTCATCCTCGGGTTTTCGGCTGATTTCTTAACGAGGAGAAGCCAAAACGAAGCCTAACGAGGCGGGGGGGTTGAGTTGAAGTCCTCAGCTCTTCCCCCAAAGCCCCCTCCCGCTTTTATCCTGCGACAAAACACCCGATTTCCCCCGTTTCTCTCTTTCCCGGCAGCCCCGCGTCTCCGTTTCACCACCTGGATTATTTCTCGGATTCTTTTTAACGAGGTTTCAGCCAGGGTAGTGTCACGTAAACGCTAATTAGCGTGCCGCCGACCCGCAGCGCCTAACGGGGCACGGCTCGTCACGCAGCGCTGATCGGCGAGCGAAACGCTTTGGGTTCAAGCCTTCGACCGCCGGGGATGCGTCCGCCGGAGCTCGGCTGACGGCGAGGGGACCCCGTGCCGGTGAAAACGCGCGTAAATAAGTTATTGAGGGTTTTTTTGTGGGTTTGCTCCTCTTCTAACCTGTCTCCCCACCCGTGTTGCGTCACCGCCGCAGGGAATCAGGCTTCCGAGCAGGTTTACTTGGCCATCGGCGCTGGAAAACGCCGGAAAAAGGGATTTTAAGGATTTCTCCAATCCAAAAAAACCGTATTCCCTGTGTTTTGGGGCCTGCTGACAGCGCCGGCGGCAAATAATCTTTTTTTTTTCAGGGCGGTTTTTTTTCCTCTCGCTGAGCACAAAGGGGAAGGGCGCTACCCTGAACTTTCCCAGCGTTCACCCGGCCCCGGGAGCTCGCTCCGGCGATCACGGGCAGCCTTTGTC